TATTTGGGGGGCGGCTATTTAAGACCTTCAATGCCCTCATCTCCTGCCTTTCCTTGGAGTTCACGCCTGCCCGAAGTTTCATGGTTGCAAGCTGAAGACGTGGATGAGACTGCGGCGCAAGGGGTGAAAGCCTCACAAATTAAAACTATATCCCTCCGAACGCAGCGTCGTCGCCAGCCAGCCAAACCACTCAGATATAAGGCCCTTTTTTGTGGGGGGAGAGCCACTTTCTTACCTGCGATGGCCGTCTCGTCCAGGTGGGACCCGGGGGGCCTGTCCCCCCGGCTGTGGTGCAGCAGGAAGCAGCACAGGACCCAGACGGCGGCTCTGGACGGCGGCTCCATGGCTGGAGGCGCTCAGAGGCTTCCTGTCAGCTCCTCCTCGGCATCCGCGCCCCGATGTCTGAGCACCGTCTACCCCAGGCACGGCCACACGCACAGGACAGAGGGACGGACAAAGGCGCTTTCCCACACCATGAAGCCCCCCAGAGGCTGCGGTGGAGCCGAGGGGCGCACTGGATAGAGCCTGCAGGCAGTCGCCACGGGAGAGGAGGGAAAAGAGGGCAGAGAGTCAAGTGTCAGGTGGGCTGAGGGGGTGGGATTGACAGCGGCTCCAAATGGGGCAGGTGTGGGGCGGCCTTGCACTGCACTGCCCCGCACTGCACAGCCCCTAGGCCGACACCCCGCGGCAGCAGGACGCGGCAGCGGGACTCACTGCCCAGTCCGACCCGCCCCGACCGCGGCCGCGGCCAGACTGCCAGCGTCGCCACACCGCTTACCTCAGCGCACCGGAGGAGCGAGGCGCCGGCGGGCGCGGGACGGAGCGCCGCACTTCCGGCCCTAACGCTCCTCCCATTGGCGGGGCGGAGATGCCGCTCTGTGCTGCCGAGCTCCTGCCCTCGCGTGCCCGACACTTCCTGCGCGTGGCTTAAGGGGGTGGGGAGGTTCTTTTTTTAATGCATTTCCTGACCCAGCATCTTTATTTCCTTTTTTATGTTTTTTGTTAGGGAGTGTGATTTTTTTAATTATTTATTTCCGGGGTTTTTTGAGGTTTTTTCTATTTTCATAATTTTTTTTGTTAGGGGGGTTGATTTTTTTTTTTCTTTTTTCCTGGGGGGGGGCGGTTTTTGAGGATTTTCCATTTTTGTTAATATTTTTTGTTAGGGGTGTGATTTTTTTTTTTTAATAATTTATTTCCTGGGTTTGTTAAGGTTTTTTCCTTTTTTTTTTGTTGGGGGGTTGATTTTTTTTTCTCTTTATTTCCCGGTTTGTTTGTTTTTTAGGATTTTCCATTTTTTAAACTTTTTTGCTGGGGGGGGTGATTTTTTAAAATTATTTATTTCCTGTGGGTTTTTTGAGGTTTTCTTCCTTTGTTGTTGTTGTTGTTAGGGAGGTTGATTTTTTTTTCATTATTTCCTGGGGTTTTTTAGTATTTTCCTTTTTTTTTTTAATGTTTTTTGTTAGGGGGTTGCTTTTTTTAAATGTATTTTTTCTTAACAAGGATGAGAATCTTTTCTTGAAAAC